GTTCTTATGGTGGCAACAGACCATTAAATTATCACTACTCATTAATTTTTTTAATTAGTGCATCTGGTGAAACTTGTCCTTCATCATTCTTTATTTGCAATAATTTCCTGAATACCCTTTGGACTTATTTTCAGAAATATACTTTAGAATTACTGTATTATGAGGCGGAAACAAAGATCCTGATGAAAATTTGAGTGGAAATGTCTTTAAAAATATGGCTGTGTCTACACAGATCTGCATCTTTGACTTCAGGAGTCTTCCATGCACCAAAGTTGATTATATTTCCAGGGAGATGACACCTCTGTCACCTCATCAAGGAACACTCAGACTTGTTGGCACAGAGATCTCGGATATGGCATTAGCCCTAAGCCTCCAACTTTCATATATATTTTGAAGGACAGGTGATTTTAATTCAATATTATGAGTTGTTATGTGTAATGCATGTATTTATACAACGTTCAGAAAATCGACTCCTTCATCAGTTGTGGTAATTTTCCAGCTATTTTATCTTTAGTTTGTCAAATAAACAGTGCTCTCATCTCCAATAACAATATTTGCTTTTTCCATCTTATTCATCAGATCGATCATTGTGTTTTCTGACGTGAAGCTATAGATGAAAGCAATGATAAATGGAGTGGGAAGAAACATCTTTGGTTCTTGTTTGGATTGGCTCCTCCTTTCGATGGGCTGCCTCTCACACAGCGGTTCCTCTTCATGCTCTGCTCCCAAACATCTTCCATGAGTCCTAGGCTGGGCTGGCAGTCACTGTGCCTGAGAGTGACCACGGGATTTTAGCACTAAAAAGTGACTAAAAATACTGTGGCACCTTCTTCAGATTTCAACCAAGGGCAAGGGGAATTTGTTCCACAGCGGGGATTTGAATAAGGCCTGTGGGGAAGAACAGAATTGTTTCTGATTCTCACAGAGGCGTCTGTCCTAGTTAATGAACCATTTGTCCTAATTTCATAATAGGAGGTGAAATGTGCTCAGTGGCAAAGCTGTTGTGAGTCATGCAGCCTGGCGATGAATTTGAGCCCCCTCCTGACTGCCTGTGTAAAGTCACACAAGTCACTCAGCTCCCCTAAGTCTCAGTTTCCTCTCTTATCAAACAGGATCATGCTGGTGCTTCCCTGTTAGAAGTCTGTGCAGATGAAAAGGAATGAGCCAGTCCACCTATGGTTCTGAGTGCAGTGCCCCACACTTAGTAAGCCTCCCTAAAGTGCCTTTATTATTAGTGTCAGCCTTCCTGTTAGTATTCTCACTGTCATTATCATCATCATCTTCATAACAACTTAGAAAGCAGAATTCTCTCAGTGGAATTTACATTTTATACTGCAGATGACTCAATCGTTCTTTGACATGTAAGGTTGCAACTGGCCTGTAAGACTACTGAGAACTAATGCTTTTCATGAAGTCTTGTGATGGCTATTTTGATTTCTTGTATGAGTGCTTACTTTGCCGCACTTTGAAATCTTCACTAAATACATCCTGTGATAATTAGTTTTTGGTAATTTATGCCTCCCCCACTAGATAGAACAATTTCATTAATCCTTCCTCCCACCACTACCTCAAACTCCATGTCATAGTTCAGTCAGACTATTAATAAAAAATAGCTCTAATGTGCAAACATATATCTTGGTGTTGTGCCATTTAGAAGTACTTCATGCTTCCCAGCACAAGAAGGATCAGTTGCTCTCTTATTTTCCTTCTGAGCTAAGACTATGTTGGTTCAGAACCTTGAGAGTTCTTTGGGTGACATCTGAAACTGGCTCCTGTCCACGGAGGGCAAGGAGAGACTGAGGAATGAAGCAGATCACTCTAGATTGGGAGCTGGCAGTTTTAATAAGCAAGGAACTTACATATGAGGCTTGTCTCAGGCGGGGCAAGACAAGTAGCTTTCTGCACCCACCCACCAGTCTTTTTTGTTTGTTTGTTTTTCAGGAAGATTAGCCCTGCCTGAGTTAACATCTGCTGCCAATCCTCCTCTTTTTTGCTGAGGAAGACTGGCCCTGAGCTAACATCCTAGCCCATCTTCCTCTACTTTATATGTGAGATGCCTGCCAGAGCATGGCTTGAAAAGCAGTGTGTAGGTCCGCAACCAGGATCCAAACCGACAATCCCAGGGATGCCAATGCAGAATGTGTGAACTTAACTGATGCACCACTGGGCTGGCCCCTTGAAAGTTTATATAGAGGCTTTAATGGGGTTCAGTAATGTCTACAGTCTAGATGGTCTCAACAACATATTATTCTCTCCAGGCTGCATCCTTGAAATGGCTCTTAGTTTAGGAACCGTGTATAGAATGTACGTTCCAAGGTCAGGGGACTGGGTAAGGGGCCTCCAATTGCTAGAGTCCAGCTGGAGGGTCAACGAGTGTTCAAATGCTTTCAATGACCTCCTCCAACAGAGCAGCTTCTTGAATCTTGGGTAACTCATTCCATTAGGCCCATTTTTCAAAGTCATGGGGAAAAGCTCTCTCTCCATACCTATAAATAATTCCCTGTATTTCTTCAGTGGGGCTTTTTGTTTGGCTTAGAAGACCACCTTGCGGGGTATCCTTGAGTCCTCATGGGCTTCCCTCAGTGCAGGTGGATGCACCAACACTCTAAGTATATTCCGGCCCTCATGTTTGCCATGATGGAGATAAACAGGAACCATATGCTCTTAACAATGACAACTTTAAGACATCATGTCTATTGTGCCAACCACTGTGACTAAAGGACATTTGGGAGCACCATGTTGTGACCTCAAGACAGAGCCAGACTGTCCCTAATGTTACCACTGAGAAGCAGAACAATTTATCAATTCATCAGTGCAGGAAGCACATCCCCAGTTTCTACCCAGATGTGGCCACCACTGGAATTGTACAATTCCCACAAGTGCAAGTGAAAGTAGGGTGGGGAAGGGCAGTGATGAAACGTAGTTTCCTCAGCACCATGTTTATGAGAGTGTGAGAGAGTGGAGCCAGACTCATGCATCTTCCCAGGTGAATGCACATTCTTAGGATAGTGTGTCCTTTATTTAAGGTGGAAATGAGGAGTTAGGAGATAAAACAAAAAAACAGAGGCATTCCTGTCTTAGGATATCAGAGTGATTTCCAGGAAACCTGTTTCTAGACCATTGTTTTCCAGATAGTTCTTAAAGGGGAGATGAAAGCTAATGAAATGAAAATGTCTTCTCCATCTCTCAACGCTTGATGCTGAATACCCACAGAACTTTTCTTCCTACATTGGCTGGTGACTGATGGATGATGCCACTGCCCAGCAGTGTTCTCCCTTGTATGATGACCACTAGTTGTAAACTGGGCCTTCCTTTTTTGTTTTCATTGAGATCACTTGTGGTCCTTTGCTCCTGACCCTCAGTTTCCATCTGTCAGATGGCTTCTGGCCCTGGGTCTGGTGGAGTTATTGCTGAAGTGCAGGGGGACTTGGGTGGGGCTGTTTGACTCAGCTGATATCAGAGGGGAGCATGTCCTCAGGGAATTGGGAGAGGCAGTGGTCAGAAATGGTATGTGTGTATACTACATGGATAGGATGCCTGTCATGAAGTGATTCCAACATTGTCAGAATGAATATGACTCTCCAGTAGCATAGACTCACCGATCAGTGAGATGATTATTTTGATAAAACTCAGTTTTCTGATAAGTCTCATCATAGGTGGATTAAATAGCGTAACCAAAGTAGGGGACAGATCATCACCATGGAGAGTCACTTAACCACCAGTGAGAAAGAGTTCCTGCTTATATTGCCCATGGGATACAAATATTTTCTTGTCGGAAACATTTTCTAAAGTTAACCATTCTGAATACCCACAAGTCACTTTTCTTCTGAAATGATGGCTTGTTTTTGCTCCCAGTGCTGTTATTCTGAATCTGACTGAAGTGTTGGGAGGATGCTCAGCTGATGCATCCCTGGTGTTGTAACTCATCTCAATGGGTTTGCCTCTTGGTGAGTGTGGAGCAGAAAAGCACAACCAAGGCAGAAGTAGATAAAGAAAGGCTCATTACTTGCACAAGCAATGGAGAACACCAGTGATCTCTCCCAAAGCTGTGTCTCCCCAAACAAGGGTTTGAAAGTCCTTTATAATGTGAGATCATAGTACAGTTCATGAATATTCAGTTAAGGAAAAGGCAGGACATCAGGTTTTGTTGCCTAACAGTCATGTTTCTTTAAGGTTCATGGGTAGATGCACACATGCTACTACATACATTGCATGATCTAGAAATGGCTGCTTTGTCCCTCCCAGAAGAGGAGAATTTAAAATGTTATTGAGATTATAACGGGGACAGTTCAGTTCAGTTCACTGAAGAGCAGTTTGAGGCGGCTAGAACTGGCTTCAGCCAGCTCGCTTGTGGGAACCTTCTGTGGTTAGGCTCTTCCTGTAACTTTCTGTCTGCAAAACACTCAACAGATAATGTCAGTTTTTATCAGACCTTCTGTACCCCTTGCTTTGCCTACTTCCCTGGTCACAGTATCTGCGCCTGTGTACCGATTTGGCAAAACTATGTCACACTCCAGTTGTCAACAAAGATCAAAGTGGAGAGGGACTAATTATTGCATATGGTGAGGTGACCTTCAGTTGTGTGTTTGTAAAGAAGGATCACAGTCTCATGAGTCCCCTCCCAGCGCTACCTTTTAATGTAAATATCCCTGCAGAACAGGAGTTCTGGCTGGCATTCTGCTCAGACACCTAAACTCAGGGGCTGTCACTCAGACACAAGGGGGCGTTTCTTGAGAACTGTCCAATCAGAGGCGGCGCCGGGGCAGCGGGGTGGGGCGAAGTTGTTGCTTCAGCCGCCTGGGGACCGCGTCTCTCCGCCACTGAGGGCTTCACATGGCTCTGCCGGTGTTCTCTCAAGCTGTGACCTGTACCGACCGCAGGAGTCGTAGGAAGGACACTGGGGGACCCAGGAAACCTAGAAATGGCGAGGGTTCGGGCGGAGTCAGGATTTGGGGGCGGAGTGTCTGGCCCAAGGTGGACTTCCTTTTTCCCTCCTGCCGTGCTCGGGGTCAGTGGTCGCCTGCGCTTAAGGGTCCTGGTGGCTCTGCCGCAGCCTCTGTGACGCTGTGACCTGCACTGAGCATAGGAATCATAGGAAGGACTCAGGGGACCCAGGAGCCCTAGAAATGGTGAGTGTGCGGCCCCGGCGTGAGGACACGGGAGCAGGGGCTGGTGGGAAGCGGCGGGGCTGGCCCGGCCTCCCGCGGTCCCCTCCGGGGTCTGCGGCCCCGAGTCCGCGGTGGCGCCGCTCGGCCCTCAGGCCCCTCCGGCCGCAGCGTGGGGGCGGGGCCGGCAGCCGGGCCCCGGGCGTCCTGCGGTCCCTGCGCGCGGCGACTTGGGCCGGAGCGTCTCTGGGTCGCTGTGCGCCCGCAGCCCCGCGTGTCCCAGACGGTGCGGGGCCCGCGGGAGGGTCCGCAGGACAGTCGGGCCTCGGTCTCCGGGGTCCGTGCGCGGAGGGGCTGCGGTCTGTGGGGTCCCCAGGGCCTCCTTTCTCCCCAGAGGACGGGCGTTTTTTCTGAATTTTCTATGTATTTGGAGAGCAGAGTCTCAAATCCATGACCCTGTCTGGGATGACCGAGTCTAGGTCTGCCTAGGGCTGGCGACAAATGCCTAAATTTCCAATGTCTCCCCGCATTCCTAAAGGCCAACTTTCTGCCTTGTATTCACAGCATTGTCATCAACTACCTGTTCTCCGTGTTGGATTTGAAACAGGTTCAATATTTCAGTTGTTTTATCATTTTCTCACGGTCGTTGAATGGCTGTTTTTTAAATATTTATTTTGTGTGTGTGCATATTTTCCGTGAGTGAAAAACAGCCTATAACCACCTGGAGCTACATTGTATGAAATCTTCCAGCGTCTCCCCCGGGATCTTTTTTTTTTTTTTTTAAGGAAGATTAGCCCTGAGCTAACTACTGCCAGTCCTCCTCTTTTTGCCGAGGAAGCCTGGCCCTGAGCTAACATCGTGCCCGTCTTCCTCTACTTTATACGTGGGACGCCTACCACAGCCTGGTATGCCAAGCGGTGCCATGTCCACACCTGGCATCCGAACCAGCGAACCTCAGGCCCCTGAGAAGTGGAACGTGCGAACTTAACCGCTGCACCACTGGGCCGGCCCCTCCCCCAGGATCTTTCTGGGCACAGACATCCTGTGGGAAGTCCTCTGGGTGCAACTTCCTCTTGGGAAAGTTTCTTGGATGATCTGTCCTGTCAGCACCGTCCCTGCCTGAGTTGGTCACCTTTAAATGACTTACTGAATTTATTTTGTCTCAATTTTTCAATGAATAGAAATTTATTTAACCAACATGACTTGAAACACAATATAAAATATTTCCAAAGAGGTGAATTTCAGAAAAAATAAAATATTCCCATTTTACATTGCATGTACTAAATTCGTCTTTCCCTTTTTTCTTCCCAGTGTGGGTAGTAATATTCTGAGGTCTGTTCTTTTATTTTGGGTGAGTTCAAATGGATTTCCAGGGCTTAGACTTGCAGACCTGAAGTGTTCAAGTAGGATTAATAGTTTATAAAACAATCTCTAGTCATGGAAATAATACTATATTAACATCTTTTTTTTTTTTTTCCAGAATGTGATACATTCTTCTGGGATTTCTTGTTGAGCCAACAAAGTGCCATACAATTTTCTTCCCTCATTTCCACATACAGACTGGTTTGAGTGATATAGCTGGATTGTTTAAACACTGGGTTTGTGTACTTAAAACATCTCTGGTGGTCCAAAAATCTCTAGTGGGGACAGAGGCCTGAGGGCAGTGAATCTAAGCTGAGGCCCCCTTGAGCCTGCAGAGGGAAGGCCTTGCAGGCCCGGTTGTCCTTCCTGGGGAGCCTCCCCCTGCAGGTGTCCTACTGCTCACACCCCCATGGAAGGAGCCTTTATCCTGAGAGGAGCTGCAGAGCCCTGAAAGCTGGGGGTGCACGTGCTCATGGGGTGGGGAGTGATGCCCTTTCTGAGGTTGTCACTGTGGATTCCTTGGGCCTGTTTCTAGACATAATTGGAGTTTTGCATCCACAGTGTAGGTGTGCTCAGAGAGTAATTTGTTTACACTGAGAAAGTCTGTGAGAGTCAGGAGCTCTGTGTCCTGGATTAGGGCCCATTAATCTGGGGTCCATTTGGGTCAGAACTTTAAACTGGATCCAGCTGAGTTTCCTCACTGTGAGAATGGAGCCTGAGAGATGGAGCATGTGCACTGTTCCCTGGGGAGAGGAGGGTGTGTGGGGCTCCCAGAGCTCCTTCCTGTGGCTGCTCAGGTGCCCTCCCCTCCTTCTCCAGGGACTGACCCCCTCCAGGGCTCTGTCTCCACCAGGAGAGTCAGGAACACGGGACCTTCTGACTATGGCTTTCCTTCTGTCCTGTGGGAAGCAGGCTGCTCATCTGAGCTGATTCCGTATTTGTGTTTCTTTCCTTTGGATTCCTTTATCGATGGGTTAGTGCAGCCCTTTGGCTCTAGTTTCCCTTAGCACTTTGGGCTGAAATTGAAAGTTGATTGAGAGATAGGATGTGATGAAATGAAGACAATTTTTTCATTTTAAGACCAGTTTTTCTATGTGCCTGTCTCTAGAGAACATAGAAATTAAAAATGCTAAAGCAATGGAATTTCTATTTCAATGTGCTCCTTTAAAGGCTCCTTTGATGTGAGGAAAGTTCTGAAAGCTTATATAAATATTTGAAAATCCAATAACCTCTTAAATAAGGGGTTAAACTCAAACCCCTATGGTATTACAATATGCTGCTTACTACTGAGCATATCCCAGTGTGAGATATAGGGGAAGGGTAAACTAGGATGCTGCATGTACTTTTAGTTAGAAAGAGATTTGAAAGTTTTATTTGGTATGGTTACACTTTTGTAACTATTTTTGTTTAAAGGAATTAAATCCTAGAATGGATTTCTATGTACAAGACTTAAAGAACAGGGGACGGCCCTGTGGCCGAGTGGTTAAGTTCGTGCGCTCCGCTTTGGCGGCCCAGGGTTTCGCCGGTTTGGATCCTGGGCGCAGACATGGCACCGCTTGTCAGGCCACGTTGAGGTGGCATCCCACATGCCACAACTGGAAGGACCCACAACTAAAAATATACAACTTTGTACCGGGGAGCTTTGGGGAGATAAAGCAGGGGGAAAAAAAAAAGTTAAAGAACATAAATTTCTCTGTTTATTTGAAATAAATCTGTAAGACAGAAAACTCAGATTTAAGAAGACTCACTTCCAACATAGCCATGTCCCCTCTAGCTCTCTTACTCAAGTCATCCTCAAATACAGAGTTTTGATCATTTTTTCATCTCTTGTTTGTGTTTCTTTATATAAGTCAATTGAGAATGCATATTTTTCTTACCCACTTTATCCTTGTAGTGAGCAGTCAGACTCCATATTTTTGGGTGACTTCTCACAGCTTAAGCCTCACCCACCCTCTTCCCTTGTGCCCCCACCTGGACAAGCTGAGGAGAAGCCTGGGTGCTCTCTCCTCTAGAGCAGGCAGGAGATTTCCCACCACCCCAGCCCCTGCCTGTGTGCAGAGCTCTTGCCCCGGCCCCACCCCCAGGCCCAGTGAAGCCCCAGACCAGGCTCCATTCCTTGCTTTCTGAGTCCTGTCAGAGCTGCTTGAGAGCCCGGCCCTGCCCTCCCCTCAGACCTGTGTTATGTGGGTCCTAAGCCTTTTCCTACCCTGTGTGTGTGTGTGTGTGTGTGCGCGCGTGCCCTCCCCTCAGACCTCTGTTATGTGGGTCCTAAGCCTTTTCCTACCCTGTGTGTGTGTGTGTGTGTGCGTGCCCTCCCCCAGACCTCTGTTATGTGGGTCCTAAGCCTTTTCCTACCCTGTGTGTATGTGTGTGTGTGTGCGCGTGCGTGCGTGCGTGCAAGCACCACACTCGTCTGAGTCTCAAGAAGGGAACCACGCCTCTGCAGGTGACCATAACAGTACCCTGAGCAGTGTGTTCAAACGACCTCCACCCGTGGGTCTGTCTTCTCTTGCTCTGACTTGCTGCCCTGCTCTGCTGCCTGGTGGCGGCATGCGCTGTGGGCTACTGCTTGCTGGGGAGCTCATGCTGTGAGCTGTGCTGCTGTGTTTATTGTTGACCCTACCAAGGCTAGGTTGACCTACCAAGTTCTAGGTTCAGACTAGAGTTGGTAGCTTCAAGAATTTACAGGCATTTGGAAGCAGGGCTATGGGATTGAGGCCTCCTGAAATGGGTCCTGGGTCAGTGTCTTTGCTGGGAGTTATGTGTGTTAGAGTGAATCTGCAAGAGAAAGTGTGTTGACCTGACATAGCCCAGGGAAGGGGGTGGTGGACAGGGACTATACCCTGTGCAAGAGGTGGGTCCATCAGATGGTCACTCCTGAGAGAGCTGTCATTTAAAAAACAGAGAAGAGGCAGGAAAAGCAGACAGCAGATGGCAGGCTGAGTCGATGCTCCTAATACCAGAGGGCTCCCCAGGCCCCTTCAGTACTTCTGCTGCTGCCGCTGCCTCTACTGCCACAAAGATCCTGACCTTCAGGGTCATAGGGGACACACCCATGGCACCCCTGTGGCACAAGGTATTAGTGGAAACCTGACTTAAGCCCAGGGTTTAAACCTTGTAATGCAACCAGTTGTCATGGGTGGGGGGTGGGAGGGTGTGCTCCTAGCCCTGATGGCACTGTTTTGTGGCTCTTGGGTGAAAAAAGTTATAAATACTAGGGTAGAGGGGCACTCCCTCCCTAAAGTATATCCCATGAAGAAGAAAAGAGTACAAGAAAGACCAGAGGGAAGGAAACAAAAGACAAAATACTGGAAAAAAGGTCTACAATTTGCCCCAATTGGAAATCCAAAATACATAGAAGAAGTTACATAACAAAACAGATGAAGGTACACTGCTTGACTTCTGGGCCTCTACAATGTAGGTTCTGAATTGCTTTTGCTTTCTGATGTAATGCACTCATTCAGAAAGCTTCAAGCAGTTAATACTAGGTGTCAAATTACAGTTATACCTAGGATCCCACTAAATTTAAGGAAGGTGCCCCTGATGATCTTAGGGGTGTTAATGAACATAATATAGAGGACAAAGAGGACAAGTGTTTCATCTTTAGCCATCAGAACTATGGTCTTGCCTAAATTCTCCATGGTCATAACACTCAT